GTGTAGGGGTGACGGGAGGTGTGTGTAGGGGTGTCCAGCCTGAGCCCTGGCAGTTGTACCTGCTGAGCAAATGCAGGGCCCACTTCCTCCACATGCCCTGGACCCTGCAGCTCAACACCTACCCCAGGGTCATCCCCAAGGCCAAGAGGCCCCTCGTGGCGCCAGACAGTGCACCTCCCCCTGCCGGGCCCAGGGCCATGGGGAGCAGAGAGCAGAGAGCAGAGAGCAGTGGAAGGGGTCCTCTGAGCCACTGGTTCCCAGGCACATGCTGAAGAGAGGACTCAATGCTGACAGAGCCGGCTGGGTCCATTCTGCCACTGACGAGAAAGCCTAATTCCTGGAAGCCTGTTAGGCCTCAGCAAGGGATGGACTCCCCTCGGGAGCCTCTGCCAAGATGTGCACCAGGCCGAGGGGCAGGAAGTGGAGCGGAGGAGGCAGTAGAAGGAGATAGTTGTAGCTGGGCTGTCACTGTCCCCTCAGACCACTGTGAAGAGCAGAGGGTTACCCAGGCCAGCCAGTGACGGGCTCCAGGCTCCAGCAGGTGCTGTGCCCGGAGGGGGGTGGGGTGGGGGGTGTAAAATGGACAGCCGTGAGCCATCTGGGAGCCCTGCCTGGGACCCAGAGACCACACACGGCCATGGAGCTGCTCCGTCAGCCTCTCTGGGTCCACTCCAGGGCACAGCACCTCCTCCTCAGCTCCTCGCCTTCCCTGCCACACCCCACAGGGCTGGGCTCTCACACACAGGCGGCTCTGTTAGTTTACGGTAACAATAGGGCTCCTCAGGGACCACCGCTCCTGCACAATCAGCCCTGACCACACCCAACTGTTTCTCTCCTGTGCTATGGAAAGAAAAGCAGGGCTGCCCCTTCCCGCCCCGCCCTCCCCACCACCGGCCCTGCCCCTGCCACACACATGCCACACAAATGCAGACACTCGCAGTCCACTGTGCAAACACACCACAGGGGCCAGGAGACGGCTGGACAACAAAGCCACGAGGCACAGAGTCTGGAAAAAACCTGGTGTGGAGAGCTCTCTATTGAACACAGAGTCCCAGCGCCTGCTCTGCTCTCCCACCCACTCTGGCCTCTCTATCCCCCGTTCCTTGGCTTGGGCCTCCGCTCATTCCACTCTGAGGTCCTCCGCAGCCGACAATCATCACAGGGGACAGATGCCTCCACGCTGCCCGATCCAGGGCCTCAAGTCCATTCCTCGGAGAGCCCTGCCCAGCTGCGGCCGGCCTGCGGGCCCCTGGGCCCAGGCGTGCCCTGGCTTTCCAGGCGGGAAGTGCCTGCTGCTCCAGCCCAGCCCCTTCGTCAAGGCTCCAGCTCCCGGGAGAGGCGGGACAGTTCCCGCTGGTTGTCGATGACCTTCAGCTGCTGGACATAAGCCCAGGTGCTGGCTGGACTCCGGGTGCTCAGGGACTGCTCCGAGCCTGGCGGGATGGGAGGCGGTCAGGGAGGGCCTGGACCCTGCTTTGTAGAGCCCATCTCTTCCCCCTCCAAGGAGCAAATCGGCCTTATTGCCTCCACCACCCTCCCTGCCACTTCCCACTCTGCACCATCCACCCTGCCACTTCCCACCCCAGCCCTGAACACTGCTCTCCCACCCCCCACTGATCTGGGGGCAGAACAGCAGTCGGTTAAGACAGGAAGAACAGGTCCCCAAGATTACATATAGCATAGTATCTCTTTTACTAAGTTTAAAAACAACAAAAACTAAAGATGATTCTCTCTCTATATATATTGACAACAGAATATAATATACATATTATATATATAATATTATACATATAATATATATATGAGGCATTTAAAAGTGTGTGTGTGTGTGTGTGTGTGTGTGTGTGTGTGTGTGTGTGTGTGTGTGTGTGTATCTGTGCGTGAATGATAAAGCTATTTTAAAGAACAAGAAAATGACCTGGCCAGGTAGCTCAGTTGGTTAGAGCATCATCCTGGTACACCAAGGTTGTGAGTTTGATCCTGGTCAGAATACATATAGGAATCAACGAATGAATGCTTAAATAAGTGGAATGGTAAATTGATGTTTCTCTCTCTCTCTCAAGTCAATAAATATATATTTTTTAAAGTTTCATTAAAACAAAAACAAAACAAAACAATGAGTAACTCAAAATTCAGGATAGCAGTTACCATGGGAGGAGAGGCAAGAGGACAGGAGAGGGGACTATCACATGGAGAGGTTTTATTGTCAGTGTGCTCATGCTTGGAAGGGTCCAGAAATGTTCATTATATTATCAGAATAAACACACACATAAAATGTAATAAAAGGCCAATGATGACAGTGTGGTATGAAGTGTGAATTATGATTAATCCCGTTTCATGCAACTGAGAATCAATTTCTGAAATGCAGGTCTTGAGCAAGCCTGGGTCGCAACTCCCTCGCTAACTAGTGTGGCCTCTGCAAGTTATTTTAACATCAAGCCTGTTTGTGCATCTTTAAGTTGGGATAACATTGCACATATGTCATAGAGGTGCTGTGAAGCTATCAGAATGTATCATAGATGTATCATGTATGCAAGTGCCTAAACACGCTAACGCATCAGCACCCACCCTGCACCACTTACACGTGGAAACCCTCGCTGCCTGGCTGTCCTCATGGAGGTGGGAGACGCGGCTTCTGAGTGGTGAGAGAGGCACTGGGTAGGAGAGAGGTGGGAGTCAGGAAGACACAGCCAAGCCTAGAAGGGGACATTGGGGGGCACCTACCCAGGGGGGCCAGCCCTCTCACCGTTGCTATGGCTTCGGCAGTGGTGCAGCATCCGCACAGCTCTGGCCATCATTCTCTGCGGACAAAGCAAGGACATGAGACCAGGCCTGAGAGCAGAACCCCGGCCTGGCCTGTGGGGCAGCTGGGAACCTGAGCTCCCTGAGAGCAGGGGGCACCTAGAGCAGGGGCGGGCAACCTTTTTGTGAGTGCGTGCCCAAACCAGCAAAATCTCTGACTCAAAATTCTTCTGCGTGCCAACCCTAATTTTTTGAGAACATGTTACGCCTACTTGATATCTCTTAAGGTGTACGTATGTGAAGAACCTTGAAGAAATAATAAAATTCATTTGAGTGACAAAAACACAGTATATGATGATGAAAAATACATTCATTTTTTATGTATACATGTTATGTAAAATTATTTATCTAAGATGCACCTACACTGAATTTATCTGAAAAATAAAGAAGTCGATATTAAGAAAAAAATTGTAAATGGAAGATTATAAGAAAGGGTTTTGCATGCCAGCAAAAGTTACTGGCGTGCCATGTTTGGCACGCGTGCCAGGGGTTGCCCAGCCCTGAACTAGAGGCTTAGAGGCTATGGGGGTAGGTGGGAGAGGGGGGCGGGCATGTCTCCTTTGCCCCAGTACAGGCAGAGGCCCAGCAGGAACCAGGAAGTGGGAGAACAGAGGTCAGGAAGAGCCCAGAGAGGAAGAGGCCTGGGAGGGGCTGTCGTTGAAGGGTGAGATAGTTGAGGCTGCCCCCCAGCACCCCCAATAGAGCAGGCTCTCCAGTATACAATGGAGTAACGAAGGGCTAATTTAAAATAAGTCTTTTTTTTCCACCCCCCACTGCCCTCTTCCTCTGGCTCTCTTCCAACTCCTGGAGCAATTTTCTTGTATCTCTTAGGCCTCATAGCAGAGGCCATCTGATGTCACCAATGCCTGTCTGCATGTCTGTCTGCATGTGCTGACTCTGCTTCTAGCCTGTGAACTTCTAGCCTGTGAACTCCTAATTCGTCGCTGTGCCCCTCAAGGCGTCAGCACATTGGAATTGCTCAGAGAG